GCAGGTGCAGGCTAACGAAACCAAGAGGAGAAAATAGCACGTGTTTCGGGAACGTTAATATTATACGAGTGCTCACGAACATAAAATTTTTATAATCTTTCATCTTGATTTGGGTCAAGTTTTACGAGTTTCGACATTTTGCAAAGTAATTGATGTGCATAATGTGTTAATGTGTTAACGTACGTGTATGTTTATTTAAATGAATGTTTTTTTTTTTTAATTTCATAATTTTTTTATATATAATATAATCATTAAAAAAGGATTGAATGAATAAAACTGATTTATATAATATTATCAAATAAATATTTGCTGGTTAATGAAGATGTTTATATCGATAACGATTGTGAATTACGCTTTTATTATTGCATACAGAATATTTCCTGTTTCCGGTTTTAATTTATCATTAGTCGTATTTTTCCCTTCATTTGCAATCTTTTTTAAAGGAAACGGTTTCCCTCGTATCGTTGTATCTCTTATCCAGTTTTTCTTCGCTTCCTCTTTTGTCTGTTATTCATCCCTACCCTTCTACTCTTCTTTCCATCACTTTATTGCTGCTTTTTTTGTTTCAGTCAACCGGTGAATATTTAATTTTTTCTTTTCTTTCAAACTGCTTAATTTTTTTCTTTTCGTTCTTTCATAATTTCCATTTCTATGTCACTTTATATATTATTTTTTTATCATTTTCCATTTTTCCGTAAATTAAGATGAATATACTTTTGCCATACGTACAATCAAATAAAACAACATGAATATTCTTTGTTTTATAATATTTATTTTTTTTAATTACCTACTGATATGGCTTCGAATATTTTTAAATTTAATAATGACAATTATAATATATTCAACTGAAAAATAAAAAGAAAAAAAAGAATTATAAACGATCACGAATAGTTGCTCTATTCAAGTATACAGGATAACGAAATAAAATAGAAAATTTAAACAGTAATTTTAAAGATAAACATAAAAGTTAAAATTTATTTTTGCATACTTTTATATTTGGGTTAATTTCTTTAATTTTTACCTATTTTATCCGAACACCCTATAAATATATTGGTGATGTCGAGAACGTGCGAAACTTAACTGGCATACACATATTGCTCTTACATGCGTCGGTAGGGTAGGTAGTCGGCGAAGGAGAAGCCTTGAGGAAACGCCTGTCTGAGCACTCTCGACGCAACACGAACTCTGGTAATTGGGTCCCCAGCTATTGTTTCTGCTGCTTGAAAATATTTCACGACGCGTCTGCTGTAATGGCACCGGGTAATTAAATCATGAAATGGCATTTTGTCATATCTTTCGTCATTTTGTTTTCTAATCTCCGATTTGAATGTTCATTAATCATCTCTTATCTCTTTTATATTTTCTTTAAATCTTTAAATCTATAATATGATATAATGAAGAATCTGTAATGTATGCATTTTTTTAAATATTTTAAATTTTATTTCTCATATCAATTATCACTATGTAAATTTTTCAACAATATATACATATATTTTGTTATATAGGCAATTCCCATGATGTTTTGAAATAAGAAAAAAAAAAATATTGACCTTTGCACCAAAGTGCGTGACTGCCTTAAAGGAAGGCGCTGCACTTTAGTTCAGAGGATTTTTATTTCAAAGGTATCTCACGTACTACAAACGTCTTAAAAGAAATCGGAGAAAATCCTGGGTACAACGACCCTGCTAGTAACCCTCTTTCGTTCATTCTATTTTCAGATTAGCATAACAAGCAGGTAATATGACACGACTTAATTATGCTGTCGCAATTTAAAGAATTACCATACCATAGAGGTTTAAGCTAATGTACGTGCAAATAGGGGTATTATCGATCAAGATTAACCGTGGAAGATTCTGTAATTAATTTCATGCGTGTCAAATCTCATCATGAAACATTCTTTTTTTTTTTCTTATTCTATCCTTATTCTATATATAAAATCCGTTTAATGTATTTATGTTTGATTTAATTAAAATAAAATATTTTATTTTTCTTTATATATTTAATAAAACTAATAGAAATCGATGTTAATAGATTAACAACTATATAAAATAAATTACGTGGTTCACTTTAAATAGCAGATATTTCTAAATCAACATTTTTATCAATAAAAAATTTTTTCAAAGATTTCCAAGAACATCATGATTATTTAATGAAATAAGTCTTTTTCTCGATATATATAAAAAGCGTATTTAATCTAGCAGAAACATAGCAAGCTTTTCTGACTACCAACAAATGTTCCTACTAATTCCACTGAGCATTGTTCAAGACAAGTTTCTCTCTCTTTTCCTTTTCACCGGCCACAAAAATAAACGCATTCGAAAAATTTACAAAAGCCACGTTTTGTTACGGACGTCGAAAATGAAAAGAACACAAAACGCCTCTATGAATGTGGACTAATAGTGTGAACGTGAAATGCAAAGCATGTACATTACGTCGCAACACGAAACAAACGATCCAGTGGTCCAAACAGAGTTACGAACTCGTCCATCCAAATTCGAAGGTAGTTTTGTAGCGTAGGGTAAAAAGTGTCGAGTGCGCGAGCAAAAGACAAAAGAAGTAACGCGTTTTCTGAAACGATGCGAGGATAGCCGTAAGCCCGTATTTACTCTTTCAAAAGTTCGCGAGACTCGAAAGAGAATCCATTTGCGATTTTACATACTACCCCTAGACAACTCAGTCCCGTGAAGTTTTAGTTCCGCTCTTTTTACACACCCTTTCCTTTCCTTTCTCTCTCTTTCTCTCTGTCTTTCCTTCTCAATCTTGAGCGCTCTTCCGGATTTATTCTAGAGTTTGCGTCGCAGTAGGTGCAACGACCGTCTTCAGTTCACGTTCCGTAAACAGGGAATTCCTGTTTAAACGCGATTCAATCCTCGAATTTCGATCAGTCGTTCGCCTATTTCCCAAACTATTTAACGAGAACAATTAAACGTCTGTCTTAAGCACTTTTGGCTCTTCCATTGAATTTATTCTGCGACTGTTTAGATATAACTAATATACGTGGTTACTTTTTGGTTTAAGATAGAAATAAACGGAAATCGATTTGAAAGAAACTTCTTTTTTCTTAGGATTTTGATTTTTTAAAAGTTTGTCGTAAAAATTTTAAAGATATTATCAAAAAGAAATAGCATTATTTTAGGAAAATCGTGTGCGTTCGATTCTTCCGGTTGTAGAACAAACTTACGAGTGAAATTCCGTTCGACGCAAGATGAAGTTTGTTTGGAAGAGAAACGTATCCGTCGCCGGATGGAAAACGCACCAGGGGAAGAAAGATTTTCCATAAATTTACACGGGCGTCCCTGTTTCATTCGTTTTCAACTACTCCAAACTGTCGACGAAGTTCTCGACAAAAGTGAGGAACAGATATCTTCCTACGATTGTGGCTCATGACTTCCGTTTCTCAATCTTCGAAGTGGTGTTTCTGCTTTTTCTTCCTAAATGTCACATAATATTTATTTCAGAATATAGTTCTATGAATATAGTTTATATAGTCTATACTATATTTTTTATTTAATAGTTTTAAATGATATTATAGATTTAAATGATACATTAATATTTGTTTGTTTCAAAGTCAGATTTATTGTAAAATAACTTCCAACATGAGTTTGTCAAACAGTATCAATCATGTATACAATACATTGAGCAATGTAAACCAATTGTAATTTGATTTATTTTTGATGTTTGTATTTTTCGATATAAATTTTTACAAACATAACAATCAATCATCGATCATGTTATATTTGATTGATTTCTGACTTGAAATATAATTAATATTTATTTGTTAAATTTTGAATGATTTTATAACTTCCTAAAATATAAAGTGAAACAATAAAATAGATTTTTTCAAAGAATTCCAATCATAAATTTAAAAAAGAGATGAAACACTAGATGACAATATCTTCCTTATAAATTTCGAAACTATTGTACTCGATTCCCTTTGTTCACATCGCTTTTACCAATTTGGCAATTATTTTTCAAAAGCATGGTTTAAAATATTCGAAATAGATATAACATTTATCCATTTTTAGTATCGTTTCTTTTGAAATAATAGTATGTAATTCTATTGGCATCTGAAAAATAATTAAATAAATTAATTAGTTATTAATAGTTAATTTTATAACTTAATTAATTGACAGATTAAAATCTTTCTCTGTTTTTTTCATTTCCCTGTTTTAAGATTTCAAATATTCGAAATAAAAATAAATCTCGAAAGTCTTACCTATTAGTCTTATAATTATTATTACTATTATAACTATTATAGATTATTACTATTATAATTATTATAGATATTGCAAATAGTGAAATACAAAGAGAATTTTTCACGAAAAATCACAAGTATGAAGAATTATAGACAAAATTCATCGAAATACGATTTAATAATCTGAAACCACAACAAATTAAAATTCTTTATTTTCTTATTTTATAATATAATAATTTTCCTAACTGTTTTTAGAAAATTATTTTTAAACTTGTCCACAATTTCGATGCAGAAATTACTTAATACTTCCGATGTTAAAATTTCGCCATTAATGGCCGTTACACGTTGAAAAATGGCGGCAAGGATCGATTCTCGAGAAATCACGCGTCGAGAATTATAGGCGAAGTTTATCGATATCGCGTAAATAATGAATACAATATGTACATACATGGGTCGATGTAGCAGGTTCCACGGGGTGGCACGCGAGCTACGAGGGTGGTTGACCCCATGGCGTGCAGGCCTTTGAGTAACACGACAGAAAAATCAAATTTTCGTCAGACGTTGCGACGTCGAGCACGCGCGATATAATATCTTTGAAGCGAAACGGAATATGGAATCGCGCTTTTCGAGTCACATTAATCCATCTTCCTCTGACCGATGTAGACGTTTAATATACTAATAATGATAGAAGCAATTACATAAATGATAATGATGACATGGTTTATCTTTGTCGAAATATGTCGATATAATAATATCGATATATCATGTGAAATGAATCGTTAACCTAGAAAACAATTCTTATTATTAAGATATTTTGTTTCTTCGATCTTTATTATTTTGATAATTTGAAATCTTTCTGAGAGTCCGAAATTGATCTTTAATGATATTAAATTCAAGCTTAAATAAAAAATATAAATTTCTTTACATCAAACTCAATCGAAATTTTATTAATTTTTATTTTATATTAGTTTTAATAAATACGATAATTAGATAAAAGAAAAGAAAAATATAATAAAAGTGTAAAGAAATAGATAAAAAAAATAAAAGATATCGTCTAATTGATTGATATGATATAATTAAATTAAAATATATTTTTAAAAATACTTATTTTTGTTGCATATTTTTCTTCTAACAAGTATAGAAAAATCTATGCTACATTAAAATTACAAATGATTAACTCAATTACTTGTTATATAAATATGTTGTTTTATAACTTTTATAACTATAATTTGACAGTTAACCTAAAATTTGTAGGTTATATATATAAGAAAATGTTGAAGAAAATGTGTTTAAAATGTCATAAAAATATTCTTAACAATATATTTTAAACTCACTAAAATTGATGAAGAAATAACTTTTTGAGTTGTCCTTATTAGTTTTTGAATGAAATAAAATGAAAAAAAAGCAAAAATAATTACTTGCGATACTTTCAACGATCATTTTAGATCGCGTGACTGACTCATTTTTCGTGAATTATGCGCATGCGCGGATGACAATTTTCGCAAGACATACAGATCACGTTTCGACATGTTTGTTAGTAGTTAATTAACACAATTAAAAGCAACAAATCGAGTCTATAGTACCACTAATAATATGTTCTAATCAAATATAATCGTTGATTCGATTAGCAAATGCATCTGTCGGTGAAATCAGTCGCGATTTGGTTCAATGTTCGCATTATCAAGTTCGTAAATTAAGAAAACATTAAGATCTAACTTATCCCGCGTAATTACTGAAAATATTCGTTCGCGTCGCATTTCTTTTAGGTTAGGTAGTACTGTATCATAGTGCCTCTGAGATACAATATTCATGTTCCATAGCCATTGGAATTTTTGTATGTTTGGCAAATCGAATTTTAGGCAAGTTTAATTAACGGTGCAGTGAACATGAACGATAGCTATGAATAAGCATTGATTGGAAAGTGGTTAGGGAAGCTTTTCTCTGGTCTCTTGGTTAATCCTGATCTCTAGCAGGAAATCATTAGCGCAGGAAATTTTAGGAAAAAAAGAAAAAAAAAGCGCATTGCGATGATTTTAATTTTAATTAAACTTCGAGATTTCCGGTCGCGTCAAAAGAAACTCGACTTGAACGTTAATTGCTAAAAAGATAAAGAAAAGAAATAAGAAGAAATAAAAAGACGTGGGAGAAAAACTGAAGCGAGATAAAGATGAAGATGTAGATGAAAATCGAGATAAAAAGATGGCGTATGAACAGTTTCATTAAAAATGCACTCCGATAACTAACGTTTAACTTTAATTAACAGAGCCTCGGGATACTTGGAAGTATCCCCGCAGCTTGGTTAATCCTGACGTTGCTGGTGCTCCTGGTTTACCTGGTAACGAGATGCTGCGACCGGAAGCCGCGCCCCAGGAGGTCGATAACCCTGCTGAAGTGTTCGCTGGCCATCCTGGCGTTGCTTTGCAGTGGAGCTGTTGCCGTCGGCCTCTACGGTAACGACGATGTGCACAACGGTTTGGTGCAATTGGTGGCCGCCGCGATGAACGTCGATGGTATTCTCATGGGTGTACGGAATCAGGTTAGTTTGCTTTACAAAATATGCCTATATATTCTGATCTCTCTAATGTTCTCTTCTTCCAATTAAATACGCTTCAAATAGCATCCATATTTACCTCGTTTAAATTAAATTGATATGATTGATTACTTGTTGAATATAATAATCAATATATTGAATTTCTGATAAAGGAAAAATTTGAAATGATTATGAAAAAGATAATTATGTTCGGATTTTAATATTAGAATATTAAATTGACATTAATTTTTCAGATAATCTTAGGAATTCGATATTTTAAATATTTTATCTTCTGATCTTTAATGTCGTAAATCTTGTCCTGGATATTCTCTAATATTACTTCTCGGATGGAATTTCATTTTGCTTATTAGTATTTATTCATTCGTACATATATTCATATTCATATTTTAATCGAAAAAAGTAAAATTGTGACTTGCTCATAATTAATTTGCGGTCTAGTTTTTTTATGTTTAAATGTACCTTGACTCACGTTCTTAATTTAGGTCAAGAATAGCGAGAAGTTTGCGGACAAGCGTAATTGAAATAAGCCTGAAAGAAGATCCATCTTATGATAAATAATCCGATTTCCAACCACCAAGGATTCCATTTTTTAATTAAAGATTTTTATCTGACGGACTTAATTTAATCGAATTGCAAGTAAACGAGATTAATTTCATTTTCAAAGAACTCAGAAAGTGAATTAGTAATTACATCTTAGAAATATTGATATAACAGGATTGCTTAAATTATTTAATCGTTATGAAAAAAAAATAAAAAAAATAAATATTTTTAATTAAAATACTTCACATCAATACTTCAAATCATACTATATATTTATTTTTCAAGACCGACACCATCGAGATTATATTAAAGAAGAAGATACAACCACAATTGACTGCCTTGGGAGATGAATTCGATGCCCCTGTCAGCAATAAAACCATGCTCGGTTTGCTGTTGACTGCGCTGCAGAGCATGAAGCAGAACACGAACATCGCCGTGAACCGGAGCTTCGAAATTCGAAAACCGCTGAGTGGAATCAGCCTGGCCGGCGCAATCGGGATGGCAGTGAAAATAGAGCAATTAAGGTGGCCCATCACTATGGCCGTTCTCAGCGCGCTTCTCGTTCTCTGCGTGGTGCTGGTCGTCGGAGTTGCACGACATTCCAGATGCGTTCTCATAACGTATGTTCTTTTTCATCATTTGCAAAAACTGTGCGAAAATCGGATTTCTCCAACTGGATTCAACTTTTTTAAATCATGTTTTTGTCTCTTTTTACAAATGAGAAGAGTGGTAAACTCAAATCAGTAAATTTTAGAAATGATTTCAAGATGTTAAATTCGATATGTAAGATTTTTAAAAATATATTTTATTTATTATTTAAGGATATTAAGTTTTAGTATATATTTCTAAATATTTATTTGAATTAAATTTTTTTTTTTGTTTCAGATTCTCCGTATTCGGTCTATTTGCAGTGATAGTCTCTTGGCTGATGGCTTCACTGTATCTCGCGACTTCAGTGGCCTTAGGTGATCTCTGCGTGTCCCCAGACGGTTATTTAACCAGAGCGGTACCGTCCACCCTAGCCTCCGAAGTTCTTTCATATTATACACATTGCGAGAATACACGCAGCAATCCATTCAGCCATAAATTAAACGATGGCCAAATCGCGGCCAGCAATATGAAAGAAAATATGAATACTGTGACTAGATTGGCATTAGAATTGTTTAAGGAACAACAATTACAACCAAAACTGAATAGCCTTTCGATTGACGTGAACACTGTGAGCAAGCTTATGTCAGGCTTGACCACATTATTTGATTGCAAGCCACTTCATAAACAATATGTTCATGCCGCGAAGAGCTTGTGTCATTTAGGATTGTGAGTATATTCTTATTTTTAATTCGCTATTTAATGAATACATAATAAAAATTTAATAGTATGATTATGTTTGGAAAGAAGTAAATAATTGAAAATTATGTAAATTATTATATAAAATGTTTTCTTGACATTCTCAAAATATTGAATACTACTAATTCTTAGGAGTATAATTAAAAAGATGCTCAAAAATTTTTGAAATTCCCCAGATACGGATTAACCTTTATGCTATTGGCCAGCCTAGCTGCAGGATTGTTTTTCACAGTATTAGTAGGAGTGGACTCTCATACTTGGATCTACATTCGAAAACGGTGAGTATGCACGGTCAATGTACTTAAAGGATGTAATGCGCAGTGTATGATTAACGGGGGCTTTGTTCTAGAAGAGATTACCATCAAGTTGACGAGCAGGATCCTTATCTACCACCATCGGCAGCCTCACAGGCGATAGCAGCTAGAACCCTTCGAGGCCAAGGGTCGTACCCGCCTACAGCCCCTTCTGTATTTTATCCGAATGCTCATGGCACTCAAAATACCATTAAGCAGCCTCTCTTGCTAACGCCGCCCCCGCCGTCCTACGCTACTGCGACTGCTCGAGCACGTCAGCTGCACGAGAGCATGTTAAAGTTTGTGCATGAAATTTTATTCAGTTTTATTTATTAGCTATGGTTCACTTTTATCGTACAAAACTGACATAAACACGATTTTAAGTTAATTTGAAGAAGATAAATAGCAAATAATAAAAAGATGAATGAAACTAGATTATTAAACTTGCTTTTTAATTTAATAAACAACATAATTATAGGCTAGAAAACATAATACGATAAAGGTTGGACGTCAACAGCTGCGTGAAATGCGTCAGTTTCTCAAACTAATTTTATGATGCAATTGAAAAAGGAATTTAATTTTACGATTTTATATTATTTATAATTGCTCTATAAATATTAAATTGATGTAAGAAAAAATTAAATACGATCCTTTTTCATAACTGCCATCAAATTAAAGATTTGATGTAAAAAAAATATAAAGTTTGAAATGGATGAATCATAAAATTGATTATTCAATATTAATAAAAATATTAAACATTTCATCAAATCTTTATTTGATCATTTGCTTTATATAGATGATGTATTTTTTATTCGATTTTATGAGATGTATTGATTTTCTATTTTTACCAGTGTGTTGAATCAATTCATTTTACGATTTATAATATGACTTGTTTATGTCGATAGAAACTATTCTTAGTGTAAATGTCGCTTTAATCGTATACAACACTCTGGTGGCAATACTGCAAATAATACAGTACAGTTATTGATCTTTTATTTTTGAAAATAAATTTAATTATTTGACAAATTAATTAATTAACAATCATAAATTAAATATAGTAACAAAATAATTGTTTCTCAGGACAATAACTGTACAATGATTTTCTCTCTTTGGTGTTTTTATAGCATTCTGGCAATTCAAATTTTCTTCAATACTCATAGATATTCTTTAACTTTTTTTAATTACTTTCTCTAATCGATGTTTAAAGCAAGAAAAAGAATTCGTTCTTTTTTTCTTTTTTTCTATTTATGGAAATATTAGCGATAGTATGCTTTTGCGCGTGTTTTTATTATAGCGTTCGTGTTTAGATTATTTTACAAAATGAACGAATGATATAAAGTTTTCTTGATAGGAATTAGACATCAGAGAATCATCTGAGAGAAAGATAATGCTGCAACTTTGTTCGTTTCGATTTGCTATTTACAGAGGTGGGGGTATTAACGGGAGCGGAGGAGGAGGGGATCACAAATCGTCTCAGCATAATCAGCAATCGACAGGTGGACGAGCTGAGCACCGTTCTGGGCTCGGAGATCAACCTGGCCAGTACGCGACTTTGAGCAAGCAATGTAAAACTCTTGAATCTAGTGACTTTTACTGAGGGCACGCCCCCGCAGGGCCCGGTAATTTCATTATTCTTTAAGAAAAACAATTAAAATATATATTATTTTAAATTCAATTTTTTTTTAATGTAAATTTCATATTAAAATCATAGGTAGAGAACCACCTTGGACACCAAGTGTGGCGTCCTTCACCGGTACCCTGTCTCACAATTCTCATGGACCTGCTCATCTGGCAACTTTCCAAGATTCTCGCAAAACACAGACTCTAGATCCAAAAAATCTAGCGAATCTTAAAAGAGGTCCAACTCCTGCTTGGAATCAGAATCGTCCATTACCACCAAATCCTAGCAGTCAACCAACATGGGAATTTGAGTCTCGTTCGCAGACTAATATGAATCAATTTCGATCCCTGGTACGAAATAAGACACCAAACATTCGGATTCAAGACCAAGTGCAAGATCAAGTACGAACGCTGGATAGAAATTTCACCAGGAATCAATTCAATGGTACTACACAAAATAATGCCGTACCAAATATGTATGGAACGTATAATCGAGCACAATCGAGACAAGAAAACAAATCAACGGTGGCGACGTTGAGTCAAGTACAGGGTAGCGATCCCAATTTGTATGCTGTGACGGAATTGTAAAATCAAACGGTGTACCAAACACATGCAAACTGCCATTATATAAGAATTTTGCAATTCAATAACAGATGTAAGCTCATTGGTAAATTTTCATTGAGTGTGTGTAGAAAATTGAGAAAAACGAAAACAAAATCATTCTTTTTAAGAGACTCTTTCTAGAAACGTTTTACATTTTTTTAAGTATTAACGTGCATATTTTGATATATGCATTCTTATTTTATATGATAAACTCGAAGAAAAGTGGCTCAATTGTTTGGTAACTTTTGATAAGAATCATAAACATTTACATATGTTTAATCATAAGATTTTACAAAAGATCGTCATTTTATGAGTACAATTGATGGAGACCGGAAACCATAAAGAGTTTTCCTGCAAAGATATTCAAAATTTTTGGGAAATCAAAACAAAAATAAAAAAAAGAGAATGAAAAGAAAAAACACATCTTTTTATAATTATAAACATTTGCACATTTAATATTTCTCATCAATTTCACGAATGATAAAAATAATAATATGAATAAAATAAGATGAGGACAAAATATAACTTAAAATCGAAGAATTCATAAATAGTATGTTTTCAGCATTATAAAAATTCATGTTGAAATCAAAAAAAACAATAAAAAGAAGATAAAAAAGGAATTCATTTATATTAATAATTGAAAAATATTTAAAAATATTTTCATTAAATAATTTAAATATTACAAGTATTGAATATTCAAAATATTAATGATATTGCGCAATGAAGATATTGTTAAAAAATATTACATTCAATATAAAATATGTATAATTATCCCTTTCTTCAAAGAATTTACTTATAAAATTTTTATACTTCATTTATTTTATTACCATATATTTCATTTACGATGATTTCTTAATTGAAATTTTTTAATTCTAAAAATTTTTTCATTGCTTATTACTTTTTTCAATTTTTCTTCAAATTTGGCAGTATGCCGTATAATATTTCTGTAATAATTACTTCTATATTTTCTATATTCTCTTCGTCGTTTTTTAAACACCGCTTATTATTTTTATATTTTGTTCTCTTATTTTGCTGTTATTTCTCTATCTCTTATCATCAAATTTTTTGTTTTAGTTTAAATATTTTTTATAAAGTTTTAATAATTATTTCAAAAAATTAAATTCTTTTTTTATCTTATCTTTATTTTTTCTATCAATTATCTTTTTTGAGAAATATGATAAGAGATTTCTGAAATCGCTTCATATCTTATATCACATTTCTTGCATTACCTTGTAATCTTATTGAGGTTCGATAATCGTAAAAAAAAAGAAAAAAAGAGAAAACAATTTTATAAAAACTTTTTTTCTTTTTTTATTTTTCTATTATAATTCTAATTTCTAATTCTTTTATTATATAGACTTTTTTATAAAAATTTCAAAATACTAGTAGTATAATTCTTTTTATGCTTGATTTTTCTAAAATAAAAATTAAAATCTGGGATATCTTTTATATCCAAGATTTTATATTGTATATCATGTATAATAATAATTATTATTATTTTCCGTTAATTTATTCCGTAAATAATTATTGCATATGTATAAGTACATACAAATTAGAAAGTTAAAACAAGATCATCATTGCCATATTTATTACTGCTTGTTAATCATTTGTTTTCATTAAAATGACACAATATAGCACAATTATACACATATTAATATGTCTAAATCGCCTAATAATAAGATGCGAAGAAAATTCATTCATTTTTTCATTCAACCATTTTTGAACATATCGAATTTTTTTTTTTATTGTTTTGTATTTGAATATTTAATTTTTAAGATAATTTATGCCATTAATTTTCACTCGTGGCCTACTGCTTTCTCTTAAGCAATCTTTCTATGCTAATTGCGTTCTTACTTGCCTATAAAATCATTTAACTTTTTAATATTTTAATTGCTCTTAATTCATCACATTATACTAATCTATAGAAGTGACATTTTTGGAACAACTTTTTATATAAATTATAAGGCGATTGTATCGAATGCAATGATATTCCACACGACACAATTTTTATATACTTTTTTATACTTTTTATCGAAGAAAACGCGAATTTATCATTGATTTATCGGTGAAGCATTTCAGTAAACATTTTACACGTTTGCGAAATATATACACATTGATATAAGAAGTTACCGCACGAATTACAAAACGAATAATATAAATGCAAAGTATTCATATAACTCGTGAAACACTTTTGAAAAATTGATTTTAGAAGTCGAAACAAACACAAAATTGATATATAAATAAAAATGTTGATTGAGACTTATTTATTACATTATACATACTCAAAATCTCTATCTCTGTTATCAATTTACATTTTTGGATACCAACTTGTGTTTGCTTTGAATCTCTAGAATTTTCAAAAGTTATTCTGCGAATATATTAATACCTTGTATTTTATATATATATATATATATATATATGTATATTTATCAACGTTAATATTTAAAGTTCTTAGTGAAACGATGAGCATCCGTGAATTTTTATCTCGAGATGCATCAATTTGATTAAGTGAAATGAAAAATAAACAAATAAAACAATAATCGTCACAAGATAGAATAAAAAAAAAAATAAGAAATTTTGCCTATACTCAGGCAAGCATACGTTTTTAAGTACAAACACGTTAAAAGCGCAAGCGTTGTGTACGTCGGATCTTTTTTCATTTTTTATATGAGACAAAGATTCTAGGATCGTCTGATGTATCAATATTGAGTATCTAAAATGCATTTCGTATATGTATCCTTCGGGTGTTGATAGAATCAGCCCCTTTTTATGGTATACTCGAAGGATAGATTGATGAGAATTCCAATTAATATAATGACAATTTAAATGTTCAAAATTTTGAAAAAATAATTTATCAAGATAATCAAGATAAATTTATTATTGTTTAAAATTAATTTAGAAACAATCTTTTCCCTATATAGTATTCAAATATTTAAGATTTTTTATCTTTAAAGAAGAATATTATTATTCCATAAATGGCATTCTCATCAGTCTCAAAGAAGTTTTTGCAATCGATGTTTTTTCAGCCGAATAGAAAAAAGAAAAAATCGAGATTGAATTATAGATGCGGAGCGCAAAGTCTTCCTGTCACGGTTATATGTATCCTCAATGGAAGGGGTTCGAAACGGGTTTATGAAATATCTGCAACGAACCAGCGGACGGCTTTATATTCCGCATCCTATTCAGCGAAAAAAGTGTGTAAATAGGGGATAATATTAATAAGTGTAAGATTGTCGAGGAAATGTGACAATGAACAAAAAAAGAAAAAAAAAAACATTAAAAAGAAGAAATAAGATATACGTGTGATATAACTTGAATTTAGGTGTTACAAATTTTACACAAAAATAATACCGTTCTCCTCTACCGTTTTCGTTTTTCTAATTTTTTTTTTTTTTTTTTTTAAGGAAATAAAGAAGAACAATGAAAGAAAGAGGCGCTATAGCTAAAGAAATTTTTTATTATTCGTTTATTGTTATCTTCACAATATTAAAAATGTTTAGAAAGACGAGAGAATACGATTTTATGTTCACTATTTGCAACGAGCATGGAAACGGTGTAGGTAGAAAAAGCATGATTAGGAAAAACACGTTTGATCATTGTACATAGTTGTAATATTTATTAAAGTGAAAAAAAAATGGAGCGATCATAGCGCATTTTAGAATATAGCGATACATAGATTTAGCTGTTAATTGATTATAATCTTAAGATCAAATTGACAAACGAGACCGGAAACGAAATAGAAACAGAGAGAAAGAGAGAGAGAGAAAGAGAGAATGTGTGCGCGCATGTGTGCGTGTGCGTATTTCGTTTCCTTGAATTTATAAAAAGAAAAATATCCTAGTCAGTAAAAAAAAAAAGGTTTTTCTTTTCGACTTTGTCCGCAATTTTCGCAAAACACATGACAGAGTTTCTTGCCAAATTTTTTCACACAGCTCAATTTTTCGAACATTTTATAGGAAAGTTTGCTATTTCTTGAAATATTGTATTTCGCTATCCTATTGCTAATTAATTATTAATGATGAAGTGTTTAACTGGTAGGGGAAAATCTTTGAATTTGAATTAATTCGAATTAATTTTCCCTACTATTTTTAGATTTTAAGTAAAACTTGATAATCTCGAATACTTGATGCGGAATATGAGTCGACGTTGACATGGTTTACAATATCCCTTCTAAGTCTCAATTGATATGGTGGGATCGATTAATAAATAATAATAAATAACTTTTTTTTAATATTTTATATTTATAGAGAAGAAGACTTTTATATAACAGTGTATATATTTTCTTTCCTTTCTTATGTTCTACTTTCTCAATGCAATCATTTATTAATTAATTAAAAAAATTACAAAATATTTTATAATAATCAATAATCAAATAATTTTAAAATAAAATTGATTTTAATATCCATGAATTTGATTCCACTGTATCAATGTTGAGAAAAGTGAATATTAATTATTTTAAAATTTAAGATAAAATTAAAGTAATAAAAGTATATATAATTTTTAGTAATCAGTAGGGAGCAATGAAAAAAACAATATTGAGGGATATTATAAACACGATCAACGGTGAAATAGTTAAAAGAAAAACCTTGAACTTTCGTCTCTGTCGTTCAAGACTGTTATAGAAACGCGCAAACGGGATCAATACAGTATTCTCCGAATTTACAAAAATTCTTCTAAAAAGAGGTTATTAATAATCCAAGGTATATAAAAGAGGATTGTATTATGAAAGGAAAAATTATCTTGCACATAAAACATATTTTCAAATGTTCGATTTGCAATTTGATATAAAAATCTGAGAATTCTCACCTTTAAAAAAGAGAAACGATCAATATAAATTCACAAAAGAAATTGGAAATATCGATAAATTCTAAATATACATAGAATCTAAAAGATTCTTGATTTTGATTTTAATCATTAAAATAAAATTAAAACTTTGATTTTAATCATTTGTCAATTTATATCATCTTATCAAACAAAAATCTGTGCGAGATGATATTAAGAACTATTTTTTCTGATAAGTATAACCGCATTTCATTTTTGCATGATTTTGATATGGTAATAATTGCATGAAAAATGGAAAAAGAGGGAAAGACAGAGATAGAGAGAAAATATGTATGTATGCGAATATGTGTGTATGAATGTATGATAAAAAAGAAGGAGAGAGAAAATTAATTATTTTCAAAAGCGCTAATATAAGGAAGAGTAGGATAAAGCAAAATATATCTTTTACTCTAACAAAAAAATAAAAGATAAAAAAAATTCTAGATAACATAGAAAAAACAATTATATAAAATCAGTTTTTTATGTAAAAAAAAATTTTTGTTTTTGTTTTTGTTTTTAGTATTTAGAAATTAATTAAAAAAGTTATTTTTATTTACTTATTTTAATTTATCTTAACATAATT